ATATTTCCTTTTTATCACATTTTTACTTTAATGACTCCATTTTTAATTTATTCGAAGTGCTCTTCGCCACTTATTAATATACTGTAATAAAATATAAACACATTAATCGAAAGTAAAGACGGAATATAAGTAAAATTTAAGGAATTATAAAAAAATATTTAAACCGATCTAGCGCATTTGACGCAAGATATATTCAAAAATTAATAATTATTTAACCTTGAAAACATGTGTTAAAATTATTTTTTTTTACTTTGTAATTTTTATTACTATTAATGAATGAAATTTAATATTTATATATATTTCAATTGAATACATATTAAACTCTTTTTTTTTTTTTTATAAATTTTTGAATAATAAAACGTGCAACATTAATAAAATTATGAATCTTTTTTTAGGAGGCATTACCGGTGGTATAGAAATATGTATTACCTATCCAACTGAATATGTAAAAACACAATTACAACTTGATGGTAAAGCTGGACCTAATAAAGAATATTCAGGAATATGGGATTGTGTGAGAAAAACTGTAAAGAACCGTGGATTCTTTGGCCTATATAGAGGTCTTTCAGTATTACTTTATGGTTCAATACCAAAATCAGCTGTACGTTTTGGTTCCTTTGAGAAAATGAAGGAAATATTAGTAGATTCGGATGGTAAACTTAGTACACAAAGGAGTTTCATAGCAGGATTATGTGCTGGAGCATCTGAAGCTATTTTTGCAGTTACTCCTATGGAAACTATTAAAGTAAAATTTATAAATGACCAACGATCTGCTAATCCAAAATACAAAGGATTCTTTCATGGTATAGGAATGATTACTAAGGAATATGGCAAGTAGAATATTAATATTATTTAGTATATAAACTGTTAATGTTAATAAATTATTTTTAATTATAACATTTTTATATAAGTATGATCTTAAAGGAAACTAGAAATTTAATTATTTCATGAGCTGAAAGTAAATAAATTTACCTTGAACTATATATAAAGTTACTATAGGCCTAATCAAGCCTCCTTTATATAAGGAGGTCAAATTATATGGTCAAGTTATATGGAAGTTCTCAGTTTACACATGTGCAATAGCATGATATCCTTTTCTTTATGATATTAAATCATATTTTGTTAGAATTGCAACTAATTGTATCATATTTGCATATGTTATGAATTTTATATTTTTACATGTTAGGACTCAGAGGTATATATCAAGGATTAACACCTACAATTTTAAAACAAGGATCAAACCAAGCAATTAGATTTTGTGTTATGGAATCATTGAAAGAACAGTATAGAGGTGGAGACAAAAATGTTACTATACCAAAATGGGTTATTGGAATATTTGGTGCATGTGCTGGTGCAATATCTGTTTTTGGAAATACTCCAATTGATGTTGTAAAAACTAGAATGCAGGTAAAAGTTTCAGTTTTATAATTATTAAGTCTTTTTTTATAGATATAGGTCACTAAATATAAATCATATTTTTAGGGTCTAGAAGCCACAAAGTACAAAAATAGTATAGATTGTGTGAAACAAATATGGAAGAATGAAGGTCCAATGGCATTTTATAAAGGAACTGTTCCAAGATTAAGTAGAGTATGTTTAGATGTTGGTATAACGTTTATGATTTATGATTCTTTTAAAGGAATTTTTGATAAAATCTGGCCTTGAAAGTTACTAATTTTGCAATTGTATATTTTAAAATGTCAGTGCAAATGTAATTTTTATAATTTCATAATTATATTCACATATTCTTTTACATAATGAATCTGTAGCAGTATATTTAGAAATGCTTTCATTCAAATATGATACATACCAAAATATTCTATCATAATGGACATTTTAATTGAAATTAAAGGAAACAAAATTATATCAAAGAATATCAATTTTGATATTAATTAGCTTCAGTAGAAAATTTAAAATTACAGTTGCACAGGGTACAACAAATTCCATTACATATATATATATTTTTATATAAATTTTTTTTTAATGTACACTTTATGCACGGGATGGAAATAGTAATGTGAATTGAATTCACAATCATTTCAGTTTTGTCCAAAAATATTGTTATTGGTTGATTATACACCAATTTACAAATTTTATTTAAAACAACTGTTAAATATTTAACATTCCTATAAATTTGAGTCATCAAATGAATGTTTATATTGTGAAAGTGATTTATATATGATATGCATAAGTTATGTAGATATGTATATAATCTATTCTAAGAAATATTGTACAGTTTCAGTACAAAAATATAAAAAACTTAATTGAAATAATGAAAATAATAAAAAATGTTTACTATATAAGTGAGGAAAAATAGATTATTTTTTTATTAATTTTCTTTTCAGTGTAGTAACAATACACATTCAAATAAAATTATAATAGGTAGGACGGGTAACAAAATTTATTATAAATAAAATTATTTTTATATATGCCCACATTCCAATAGACATAATAATCTTCACTCAGATATTGTAATACATTCTAGCATTAATTGAATATGAAAATTTTACTATAATGGCTGTGACATTTAAATGGAGACAAACATTTACAAGTTCCTTCAAAATAGAGATTTTATAATCTTATAACAACTGCAAACTATCTATTTTATTACTTTAACAATGAAACACAATGGTTCATAATACTTTGTATTATTTGTACATTGAAATATATATCTTTACAATATTACTAAATGTTTTATGAAAACCTGTTTTTCCAAAGTATATAAAACCTTTAAAAAAAATATAAAAACACAAAAAGCAATTATGAACATTTTATACGTGCATGTATGGTGCGTGTACGCACGATGATATATGTGTGCGTGCGCACGTGTATGTTGTGTGTGTACGTACAGCGTGTATACATGTGTATGCATATACAGGTGCACATGCGTGTACGTGTCCTGTGTGTGGACGCGCGCTTATGTGTATATACCTTTTTATATATTATATTATAAATATTAGAAATTGCAAAGACTATTTACTGTTATTATTTACACAGTATACTGTGTATATTGTACAAGAGGAACAGTCATATAAAATCCAATAATTGAAATGTCATATATCTGTAAAAATAATTTACAAAATCGTATTTATATATATAAAACATTATTTTAATATGTGAATTCTTCATTTCTATGCATACATATGTAAGTACACAGCAGCATAAATTTATGAGCTGTACATGTGAGGCCCAATACACAAAGATATAGTAGCAGACAGTGCCGGCCCCACTCTGGGCCCAAGGGGGGGCCCGGGGTCACATTCCAAGATGGCTGTGCCTGAGGAATGCAGTGGGTGCCCTCCTAAGACGCCTTCCTCCCTCCTTTTTTATTAATCAAATCAATTCACCTATCCTAGCGAATATTCTGATTACTAGGACGAAATAGTTAATGTCAGCGTGTATCCGGTGAGTGCTGTCTAAATTTGAAAGTAGCACTTTGTAGAAAATAAATGTGAATGAGGAAAAGAAAGGTGGTGTGGGAAGACCTAGAAAGGTCTTATACTCTAAAATGTGTGGTCTTATCTAATGAAACTCCCTTGCTGCAGATAATGCTCATGCAGGAGGATGCTACCTGCTCGTCTTAAGCAATGTCTCATAGGGATATCTCTGAGGTAACAACAAGATCCTACAGTATATGATGACGAATATTATTATCATATTTTAGAATTAAAATCGTTTAATTTTATTGGTTTTTGTTCTTTCTATTTTTTTTATTTACTATAAGATTAATGCTTGCAAATTTGATAATGAATTACGTTTTTAAAATTATGTTACATCTATTCTTAAATATACACATACAAATAAAATTCAATAAAAATTTATATTGAAAGTGACAAAACAAAAGTTGTATTAAATTAAAACGCGCACTTTTTATAAAATAATTTTTCAGTTTTGTAATAATTAAAATATTGATTTCAAAAAATAAATGGAAATAGTTATTTAAATTTATTTATTAAATTATTTATTTCTGTTTATAAAATAAAATTAATATTTGTATTATTTATAATATATTTATAACTAATGTTTGTAATGATATATTTGTATATTTGTATTGTATTATTAATATCATCATATGTATTATGATGAATATAATTTTTTATAAATATCATTAAATTAGTAATGATAGTAACAATACAATATAAATTCATATACATGTATTATATGTATAAATTGTATGTAATTTTTAAGGTGGAGCCCGAAGGTACGTCGGCCTTGGCTGCTGGATCAAGATCTCTATTTTTAGAGACTGTACGCCGCAGTAATGCAGCATGTCAAAATGGTGATTATGCTCTTGCTGCAAGCTTGTACACAGAAGCTCTTGCTTTGGATCCACTCAGCCATGTGCTATATTCAAACAGGTCAGCTGCCCGGCTCAAAATGGGTTTATTTGCACTTGCTCTTCAAGATGCTGTTAGAGCTACTGAACTCAGCCCTCAGTGGCCTAAAGTAAGTTAATCATATTTTTTTTTTCTTCATTTATCAAATAAATCCAAAAATTCATTTTTTTATTAGGCATACTACCGTCAAGGCGTCGCATTACAATGCCTAGGAAGGCATGGAGAGGCTCTTGTGGCCTTTAGTACAGGATTGGCACATGACCCTTCTAATTGTCAGCTGTTATCTGGTCTTGTGGAAGCATCTTTAAAATCACCGTTACGTGCAACACTAGAACCGACATTTCAACAATTACGTGCAATGAAACTTGATGAATCTCCTTTTGTTGTCATTTCTGTTGTTGGTCAAGAACTTCTTGGAGCAGGACAGTATAAAGCAGCAGCTGGTGTATTAGAAGCTGCACTTACTATTGGTTCTTGTAGTTTGAAATTAAGAGGTTCTGTATTTTCTGCTCTATCTAGTGCATATTGGGCATTAAATTCTTTAGATAAAGCTATCAATTATATGCAACAAGATTTAGGTAAATATTCAAGATAAATAAAATAATAAATATGTGTCAATAAAATAGTTCCCAAAATTTTGAGTAAATATATTTGTAGGTGTCGCACGATCTTTAGGAGATACACAGGGTGAATGTCGAGCTCATGGAAATCTGGGCTCAGCATATTTTAGCAAGGGCAGTTTTAAGGAAGCTTTAACAGCACACAGGTATCAATTGGTTTTAGCTATGAAGTGCAAAGATACTCAGGCTGCAGCGTCTGCTTTAACTAGCCTGGGTCACGTTTATACAGCTATTGGTGATTTACCAAATGCACTTGCATCTCATAAACAATGTGTACAATTAGTAAAACAAATGGGAGATCGACTTCAGGAAGCCCGAGAAATAGGAAATGTGGGAGCAGTTTATTTAGCAATGGGAGAATTTGAAAGTGCTGTTGATTGTCATACACAACATTTGAGAATAGCAAGACGCTTAGGAGATCGTGTAGAAGAAGCAAGAGCTTTTAGTAATTTAGGTTCATCTCATCATTATCGAAGAAATTTTGGTCAAGCAATGGCTTATCACGAAAATGTTTTAAGAATAGCTCAAGAACTTGGTGATAGAGCAATAGAAATGAGAGCTTATGCTGGATTAGGTCATGCTGCAAGATGTGCAGGTGAACTTTTTAGGACAATAATTCATGAGAAATTCAATGAAAAATTAAGTTCACTCTAAAATTTCTTTTACATGTACTTTTATTTAGGCGATCTTGCACAGGCCAAGCTGTGGCACCAAAGGCAACTTGATGTTGCTTTGGCTACAAAAGATAAAGTTGCTGAAGGGAGAGCATGTAGTAATTTAGGAATAGTTTATCAATTACTTGGTGAACATGAAGCGGCACTTAAATTACATCAAGCTCATTTAGGAATTGCTAGATCACTAGGAGATAAAGCTGGTATGGGTAGAGCTTATGGAAATATTGGAAATGCTTATAATGCATTAGGATATTATGAACAAGCTATTAAATATCATAAACAAGAATTAACAATAAGCAAAGAGGTAAATTGTTTAGAATATGTTATAAAGAACGAATTTTTATATAAATCTATATTTAAATACATTTTATTAATATTTTAAAAGTTGTTGTTTCATGTAGGTCAATGATCGTAGTTCAGAAGCTAGTACACATGGGAATTTAGCAGTAGCATATCAAGCTGTACAAGGTCATGAAGCAGCACTAAGACATTATAGGGCTCATTTAGCTATAGCACGCGAGTTAAAAGATACAGCTGGCGAAGCATGTGCTTTACTAAATCTTGCGAATTGCTTGTCATCTCGTGGTAGATTTGAAGAAGCGGTTCCATATTATGAGAATTATCTCATGTTATCTCAGGAGTTACATGATGTAGAAGGAGAAGCTAAAGCATGTCACTTCTTAGGTTATGCTCATTATTGTTTAGGTAATCATCGTGAAGCTGTTAGATATTATGACCAAGATTTGGCATTAGCTAAGGATTTACAGGATAAATCTGGTATGGGAAGAGCTTATTGTAATTTAGGGTTGGCACATTTAGCTCTTGAAAATTTAGATACAGCACTGGAATGTCAAAAATATTATTTGGGTAAGAAAGTTTGACATGTAAAGCTGTACATTTACATTTTTTAAATAAAAATTCAAATACTAAAATATATATGATTTTATCTATTTATATAGCTATTGCACATATGACTAAACATTTAGCCGGAAAATTTCGTGCTTTGGGGAATATTGGGGACTGTCTTTTACGTC